ATATTATTCTTTCACTGTACAGATCACTTGTAAGGCTTTATTTAGAGTACTGTGTACAGTTTTGGGATTCCTTCCTCAAGAAAGACATTAAACTGTTGGAAAAGGTTCAGAGAAGAGCCAATAGGATGATACTTGGGATGGTGGGATTGTCCTATTAGGAGAAATTAAAATCTCTAAATTTGTTTTCTCTGGAGAGAAGAAGGGTCAGAGAGGATTTGATTGAGGTCTTTAAGATTATTAAAGGTATTGGTAATATAGATCTATTAAACTTTTTTGTGTTTAGTAGTGAAAACAACAGGTCAAGGGGTTATAAATTCAAATTTTCCCAGGGTAGGAGTCATCTGCAGTTTAGACAGTATTACTTTTCAAACAGGATGGTTAGCTTTTGAAATGAGTTGCCTTCATGGGTGGAAGAGCCAGAAAATTTAACTTTGTTGAAGAAAAGTTTGGATGAATACATGTGTAGTAAGGGGTGGTTATAGTAGGAGCTGGAAGAGACATCCTTGATGGGCTAATAAGCTCCTTTTTGTCCCTTTAAAATTTTATGAACTTATAAGCTCGTGGAAATCAAAGTTTTGTCGAAAAATTGCGACAAAACTCCATATTTCGGTATGTTAGGTATACACGACTGTTTCATTTAAAGTTAATAGGAGAATTGTGATTTAGACAGTTATATTGTGCGAGCATTAAAGTAAGTTATTTTTAGAAGTGATAGTTATGGAAAGTTTGTTTACATAACTGTTTACAAATTTTTTGTTGCTTAGTTCAATTGCTGTGAATTGACATCACGTTACTTGAACTTTCTGAATTTCTCTTGTTGCTTTAAGTGATTATTGTTACATCATAACATCTTGTAGTTTCTAGAAAGTTGTAGGCTTCAGTCAGGCAATATATATATATATAATCTATACAAGAGAAACACACTAAGATTTGTATTTACATAATCCATAAAAGAGAAAGACAATAAGATTTATATTTCTATAATCTATACAACAGAAACACAATAAGATTTTCATTCCATAGTCTTTACATGCAACATGTACTAACATTTAATCCCAAGAACCCACACATGTGAAATGCACTAAAATTAGTATTCTATAGCAAATATATACAGAACATGCTACAATATGTATGTATTGTATAATTAAACATGTGAGAATCGTGCCATAGTAACTTAGCTCCCCCAAATCAGACAAGAATATGGCCACACTATTATAAAACTGAACCATAATAACAACATGTAAAAGAAATAATTATTTGGAGGCATCAAAATGATTAAAACAACAATCTAACCTTTGATGACTCTTCTAATTCTTGTCCAGTGGACAGTACCAAATTGACCAGGTCTTCCATGTCTAGATCATCAGTGACCATTCCAAATCTCACACACAACATCCCATCATCTCCTTCTCCTGGAAGTTTTATACAACAAATTTATATCACACTTAATGTAACGGCAATAAACAGAAATATTTTAGTATTTTAATCCTGTAAAATCATAAACTTCCTGCTGAATCACCTTGGGACGTACATTTTACGACATAAATTCATCATTTTTTTTTAAATTATAATAAATAATTAAAAACAACATTTTATATTTACACAATAAAAACTTTATTGAAGCCGTACGGCTTCCACTTTAAAATATCTCTCTACAAGTACATGTTTCGACATGATCTACATCATCTTCAGGAGTAACTTACAAGACTATTTTATACTTTCCCCCTTCTCGCATTACTTCATTGTTATTTACATATTTCTGTTAATATAAAAAAATAATTATTATAATATATCTCTCCATATATCAACATACTGAATTGCTGGTCCTTCATCTCTATTTAATACTTGTTTTTGTTTTTTATATTTTATTATTTCTAATGTTTCTCTAATATTTAATGATATAAAACTTTTTTAACTTTTATATCAACAGGTAGACAGATTCATGGCTTAAACACATAATAATTAAAAATACATAATTCACAGCCTAAGAAAAACGACAGTAACCTTTCCACGATCTCAACCCAAACCATACCTAGAGAAAATGCAGAGTCACTATTTTTCAGTTTCTGGACCAGGCTGGAATTGATTTTGTTGATTTCTTCTTTCCCTCTGTCAGTCAGTTCATTTAATAAACTCACCAACTGTCCAGATATGAACCTAGAGAAAGTAGTAATCAAAAGTTATCACTTTCACATACTCATCACAGGAGTCATGGGAATGTAAACTACTTGACTTACACATCAAAGTAGGTGTTTGTTTTACTGTCATTAATTAATATCTATTCATTAAATGTTATTATTGTAAACTTAAGTTTCAAACTATTAGTGAGTTGCAGTTCCTGTATGATGCAACAAATTTCTTTTTAGTTGTTACATAAACTTAACAACAAAATCAGTAAATAATTCAGTGTTATGTTTTCTGATTAGGCACATCTATCTAGATAAATATGAGGAAACAAAAGGGTTCATTCTTGAATACCAAATTTATTGAGTAGAAGTATTCCCATGTTGACCTTTAAAATTGAGAATGTAACAAAAAAAATATGATATGCAGTATCTTATACAATATAAAAGGCTGTGACAAATTGCTACAGAATGTTGCAAATAAAAATGTCTCTTTCTGTGCTAAATTTCAAATGTTTTTAATAATATTATAGACACCATTCCTGCCTGTTCACAGGAGGCTTAAATTACCACTGACACTTTTCCCTTATACACTTGGTAATGTTTTCACCACATTATACGGAATTTTGGAGTTACTGTGTTTAATGTTCACAAACCTACAGGTAAAGTTTGCTGCTATTAGTAAATCTAAATCTTATTTGGAAATTGTTTCAACCATCCCTGAGAAAAACTATTTTCTATGTAATTGTATTTTAGATTTTTTTTCCTTCAAAACTTTTTCAATCTGACTTGTCCTGGAAAGAATTAGAAAACCACAGAAGTTCAGCCTCGGAAAGTTTTACCCCCTTCATTTTGTATTTAGCAATAATTTTGCATATTTATAATACTAACCACTCCTTCTAGCCAGTTTTTCAAAGGAAATGATGAAGTTTTTATTTTTAGTTCACTGTTCTGGTCACTTATTTTAGGGCCTACTCAGCAATAGTGACAAAACACAATAGGGGACTTCTGGAAGATTTTGTCTTGAAAAAATTAAAAAAATGAGAAAATTAGGCTTCATAAATGCTTTTAAACCAATTGTTTCTTGGGGGATTCCGTAAGCCTACTAAACCCTTTAAGACTTGAATTTTATCAAGTAAAAAAGCTTAAATAAAAGTTCAATTACAATTGAAGTTCATCCTTAACATATTAACTGTCAAGTTTCTCAAATATAACTCATGTGGGGCTAGACAGAAGTCAGTTACACCTCAGGTGTGCACATGTTCACTGCTTGTGAAACAATCCAACAATTTATCAAAAATATATAAAAAAAACAAAATAAACATGAGTAACTCCAGTTCAACTATTATTACAAATTACACATATTGTACATGATGACATGCATGTTTGGTGAAAATACTGTGATAAGGAAGTTTCAGTTGCAAACGAGCCTTATACATATTATACATACTTAAGTATAATACCACAAAAGTTTGGAAACAATACAGTGAAAAGTTAAATTTCATTTTAACTACCATTGAAAGGAGACCTTATACATATGCACATTGTCAATAATTAAGGATGATGACATACGACTTCGGTAAAAATATAGTGCTTGGTAGTTGTATTTTCTGCAAACCTACACGAGGGCTATCTGCACCAGCCATCCCTAATTTTGAAGTAACAGGTTAGAGGTAAGGCAGCTACTCAACCAATTATAAATTCTCACACTATCAAGGCCAACCCAGCTAGCTATTTATATAATACATACACCCGACACACAAACACTACAGGAGAACGTACCTTACACCACCAAGGCCAACCCAGCTAGCTATTTATATAATACATACACCCGACACACAAACACTACAGG